TTTTTGGGTCCGCGTTCGGCCCTAACGGCCGAACGCATCCCCAAGGGGTCCCATACGTTTGGGCGTTCGGGTTCGGGCGTTCGGCCCGTCCTGAACGCCGGCCCGTCCTGAACGCCGGTTACCCTGTATATATATATATATTTGATTGATTGCTTGTGGAACATATTGGGTTCTGAAATCTTGCATATTGGGTATCTCGCTCTCTGTTCTTTAACTTGTTTCCCCTGTTTGTGGTTGCCCCTGTTTGCAGAGGAAGTTTAAAGATTTCCTTGACTTGAAGGCCAGTGGGGTGGATTTTAACAAGTCTATCATGGAGAAGAAGGACTACCGCAATCCGGACTTTCTGGAAAGAGTCGTCCGCTATCACAACATTGATGAGAAGGGCTCGTGTTATCCGAAGGACAAGTTCAATCCGCATGGGTACGATCCCAATGATTACTATGACCGTCTAGGTATTATTACCTGCAACCGTATCTGCCAGACATTGCTTCTTGACATGAACCTGTACCCGAACCTGGACGCAAATGTGGACCAGATTCGGACTCGGGTGTGATGGGCATGCAACCGCACAACATGCCATAATGGTGTCATAAACTTGCTTTACAACCAACCCCATGCTTATGCTTCTGTGGACCCGGACCTGAACACTGTCGTTGACCAGATTCGGACTAGTTGCCAGTGTTGCAATGCTGCGCAACATTTTTTTTTTCCAAGTTTTTTTTTTTTTTTTTTGGGCGCAAAAATCATTGAATGAAGTGGAAATTTGTCTGGCGCCCCTGTATTTTTCATTATTTTGTGTCGTGCCCCTCCGATTGCCAACTTACCCTTTCGTGCCCCTGGGGCCAAAAATCTTTCCGACAGGCCCCTGTCGTTCGGGGGCACAACTTTCCGGGATGCCCTCTCTGGACTGGCGGTCCCATTTCCATCGGGCCCCGCGCCATTTGCCCTCATGAGGGGCAGCCATCTTTCTGTAATGCCCTCGCAGCAGCGACGCGCTATAAATTCGAATTCGAAATATTTTCTTGTCGACGCGCCATCGCTACGATGTTGTTGATGCGCCGCTGCGGAGAAAGCTGCTGCAGTGCAAACGCTCCGTGTCCTGCTTGGAGTTTGCGCATCTGCCATCACACAGTGAGTGGCCCGGCAAGCTCTCTCTCTCTCTCTCTCTCTCTCTCTCTCTCTCTCTCTCTCTCTCTCTCTCTCTCTCTCTCTCTCCCCACCCCCTGCCCCCGGCTATACATCATTCAAATGTATCTTGAGGTCGTATTTGTGCAGGTACATCCAAATGTTGGGCTAATCGGAATGTATCTGGTCGCATTACAGCGCATGTACATCACTGATAAGAAGGGCACAAAGAGAGAGAGAGAGAGAGAGAGAGAGAGAGAGAGAGAGAGAGAGAGAGAGAGAGAGAGAGAGAGAGAGGGAGGCAGGGAGGGAGGAAGGGAGAGGGAGGGACGGATGGAGAGAGAGAGGGGGGAGAGAGAGAGAGAGGAGAGAGAGAGAGAGAGAGAGGGAGAGAGAGAGAGAGAGAGAGAGCAAGGAGAATGTGCATGGCAGGGAGGCCGCACAGGCTGAGAGAGAGAGAGAGGGAGAGAGAGAGAGAGAGCAAGGAGAATGTGCATGGCAGGGAGGCCGTACAGGGTAGAGAGAGAGAGAGAGAGAGAGAGAGAGAGAGAGAGAGAGAGCAAGGAGAATGTGCATGGCAGGGAGGCCGCACAGGCTGAGAGAGAGAGAGAGGGAGAGAGAGAGAGAGAGAGAGAGAGAGAGCAAGGAGAATGTGCATGGCAGGGAGGCCGTACAGGCTAAAATTACCCAGCCAGAGTGGCCTACTTCGTTGTACACAACAAGGGCGCGGCAGAAGCATGGGGCCACTAAATTTCTGTCATGCTGCGGTAGCTCCCTCCGCGCGCTGAAAAGATGGATGGTACCGATAGGGGCATCTTGAAAATTTTCCCCCTGGCAGTTAACGGCTATTCGGTAGGGGCATGCTTCACAGTTGGAACGGGATGGTACCGATAGGGGCATCTTGAAAATTTCTCCCCTGGCAGTTAACGGCTATCCGGTAGGGGCATGCTGCAAAGTTGGAACGGGTAACGGTAGGGGCATAACAAAAATATTTCAGGCCCAACCGACGCCGGTGTTTTATGGGAAATTTGATACGATGTCAGAGGGGTGCCACAGGGTAGGTCGGCCATTGGAGGGGCGCGATGCAAAATAATCGAAAATACAGGGGCGGCAGACAAATTTTCCCTTGAATGAGCGACAGCAAATGGAAATTCGGGATTTTTTTCCGAAACCGTAGGAAATAATCTGGACCTGTATTTTGGAAAAAAATCCCGGGTAATCTTGCCCTCTGCCACCCGGGACTGTCGTCATGGCTGTCTAGATGTTGGGATTGTAACAATGCTTAGAACATACGACGGGGGAACTATCTTGAGTGAATTTGGTCATACAGTTGGTTAGATGCGTTACTACACTCCTGTAGTGTGCTGGAATGACCTGTCTGTCTTTGCAGACTCTGTGCAGCACACAGCAGGACGCCAGGTTGCTCCGGTCCGAAACTGGAATCGCCCTCAACATCTAAAGGACAACGGAATGAAGATGTGGAGAACCGACTGCGCGAAATTAAATTCCACCTGTGCTATGGTTATTAGTCAAACAAACCACCAGTTCACATGGAGGCTGAGTTGATGAAGCTACCCTCCAAAGCTCGCGAGTCTGCAACTGCAGCTTTTCATAGTGGCCTGCCACTTTTGCTACCGGCCCAGGGCCGAATCGAGATGCTTTACCGCGTATACCGCTAAGAGCGCTACTTAGGTGTTTGTGTGAACTGGCGGTTTAAGTGATGACCTCTGCTCACTGTCTCAGCAACAGTAGAGAATATATAAAATTATAAATTGTTCAGCAACAGTAGAGAATATAAATTGTTCAACAACAGTAGAGAATATAAAGTTGGATTGTTTCAGCAACATCTGACTTGATGGCGCATGAGGCTGCATCTGTGGGTGGGTATGCAGGAAGATGCTTTCTGTGGAGCTAGGCTATCAGCCGGGCCGCCCGGGTCACCCTATTTTCCCGGACGGCCTGGCCGTGCAAGGACCAGGGAAGATCCAAGCAAAAAAAAAA